ACTCTTTGATCAAAGGCTCGTAGGGTGAATAAAGGAAGCTGCAAGTCAGGGAACTGCTCAGGGTAGCTAAGAGATTGCCCACGCGCTGGAGGAACGCCATGCGGTCCGTGTAGTGAGTGAAGAACCTGGGAACGTAAGAAGGAGGGTTTGGACAGAGGGTGGCCTGGAACTCTGGGCTGCACGGCAGTCCCCGTACCAAGTACACCGAAGGGAGGGAGAGATGTTCGGCCACTATCTGTCCACATGGGAAAAAAGGATCCATAAAGACAACATCGAATTTGCTTTCTTCCAGGTCTCTGATCAGCTCCTTGTCAGACAGAAGACGTTTGCAGGAACCAAGGAACATAGTTGTAATATTTGCAATTCTTGATAATTTTTCCAAGAAAGATTGACGTGTAAAACTGTTGTGGCCCATCTTTTTAAATTCTGCTTCCATGTACTCCTTGGTGTAAGGGACGGAGTATTTTTTCATGGTATAATGCACTGAAGAATCTATCCGCAGATTCACCTCGGGCGCAATCACCACGATTTCATGTCCCCTCTGTCTGAGCCGCTCCACAACCGGGCGCATGCTGAGCCAGTGGCTGCCATCGACAGGGGCAACCAAAAGCTTTCCACCTTCAGCAAAGGTCCACGGGAGCAGGAGAAACACAACCCAAGAGGCAAGAGAATTAAATCCTGGATCTGGAGAAGCCATTGTCCTTGTGCTGGCAGCGCAGTGGTAAACGGGTGCGGGAGGATTGCGGGAGACGAGCAGTGAATCGCGCTGTGCTCTGCACTTTAATCTCCACTGAGGTAAGAAGTGGTTAATTTTTAATGGACCATGGGCAGGACCGAGGGTAATTGTTAACTGAGGGTAAAGCTGGGGTTTGTCTCTGTGCGCGGTGAGGTGAAGTGGAATGTCTGAATTAACCTTAGAGGATTCCAACGCTTGAGGGAGGAGTGTCAAGCGATTGGCCATGTGAAGGGCTGAGCAGAGTTATGCTGTAGGGAACCTGCTTTGGCAGAGGGGTTGGACTGGGTGATCTCCTGAGGTCCCTCCCAACCCCCACCATTCTGTGATGCTGTGATGGATGGGAGGAAACACCTGACCAAGCCATCGTTATCTGTCTTCTTAACACCTGGTTAATGATGAACCTCCTGCCTTGAGTCTGCTGAGACACAAATCTCGGAACAAAAGCCTGACCTTTGGGTTACTTTGTGCTCTCAGAATCTGAAGCAGAAGCAATGATGGGCAGAGATTTGATGTACAGTGGGTTGGTGAGGTTTATCTGCAGGTTTGTTTCTGTATCGTAGCAGTTATCGATGTGAGAGCCCTGAGTCTACAGCAGCGGATGTGGTGGGAGCTCAGCAGTAACTTCTGCTGTCGCAGCACCACCGCGCTCTGGAAAACAGAATAAACAACTGATACCTGCACTGTCCCCAGAGCCCCCTGGGGAGATTGAAACAAGACAGGGAGGGAGGGAGGGGTGGAAATTTACAATCCTGAAAACTTCTTGTTTTCTCATCATCCTCTTACACACACTCTTACGTTGCTTCTTACAGGAATTCAGAGGCAGCAGAGCTCCCTCACAGAATCACAGAATGTC